GAGTAATTTCTAGTGGGGACAATGCTTTGATTGGATGAAAGGTGATCAGCACCATGGACAGTTTTTTAAACTGCCCGTCTTCTTACAGTGACTGACATTATTTTTCTCAGTAACACACACACACATCTGCACACACACATAGTAACACACACACACACACATCTGCACACACACACAGCTCCACACTGTGCTTCATCTTTATCTGTTCTGGCCAGTCACAAACTCCGACAGCGAAGCTTCGTCACATCAGATCGCAGGCGACAGTTGAAACACACACACACACACACACACACACACACAGCTGAGTACTGTACATCTGGCTTGGATATTGGAAATAATTGAAATGTTTCACATCACCTTCACTGTGCCTTTACTGTGTGTTCTTTGCGTGTCTGTTTGTGTGTGTGTGTGTGTCTGTTTGTGTGTGTGGATGGAGTGATGGAGTGGGTTTGAAGTTCCATTGGTCTCAGCTCTGCCGCTCCGACCACGTTGGTAGCCGTGTTGTGTTAATCTGACAGAGCAGAACCCAATTTACTGAGCGGCGAGTCTATTTCACAGATGTTTGACCACACACACACAGAATGCGCGCGGACACACACGCACACGCACGAAACGCGGTGTGTAAATGAGAGTGTATCGCCGCGGGGCCTCTGACATTTAAACACTCCCCGGAATCATGTGTGAAGCCAACACACGTTCAAAGTGTACGAGTGTGTCGGGGTGTGACCAATGGAAGAGCTGCTGATGGAGTGATGGAGTGATGGAGGGATGGAGTGATGGAGTGGGGGAGGATAAGCCGCGTGGAGAAACGCACGGACAAAAATGGTGTTTTTAAAGAGTGGAAAACGCACAGGCTCAAAAAGAACAAACGGGGAAAAAAAACATGAATTTCTGCTTCAGAACGGGGTTCGTTTGCAGTCGGATGTTGTCTGCAGCTCTTTAAATAAGGAGATACATCGACATACACTCTGATTCATTACTTCCGAGACTCTATGATAGTGTGATGTGTCTCTTGTTTCTAAAAATAAACTTCTATAACAGCTTTTTTTTTTCCATCTAACAAGAAACAAATGTTGATGATCAGCCTTTGCCTCTGTGTCCTCACAAGCACAGTGGCAGTTTGTGTGTTTGAAATGATGATAAAATATCCTTTCATGAACTTTGGTCTGGGACGGGGGTGTCAAACATACAGCTTGTGGGCCAAAACCGGCCCACTTGGTGTTTCCATGCGGCCCGCTTGATGAATTTTGAAAATAAGAAAATACACAAACTCTTCATGTTCAGGAAATGTTTTGTAAAAAAAGACAGATGTTGGTAGTTTATATGTAATTATGTTACTATTTTGCTGGTCTGGCTTGACATCTAATTAGGTTGTGAACCAAAATGAGTTTGACAGAACCTGGTCTAGGAGTTTACTTGTCGGCAAAGGTGAAAAAAACTATAGCAGTGAGTACAGTATTGAGATATACTAGAGTGTAAATTTATATTTATTTCTGTCTTATCTGCAAAATAAGACAAAAAAAACCCCCACGATTGGAGGCATTACCCGAGCGTATTTCCAGAGGTTTTCTCAACAGGGTGTGTGATCTACGATCTCTAATGAGTGATTATCTTCAGACGACGTGTCTGACAGGCCACTAATGTGCAGAGGTTATTATCTGTGACCTTTAACTAATGAGAAATGTCTGACACCGGGGAAGTTTGGAGCGTAAAATAGCTTTCTGAACACGGAGACCCACGTTCACTTGCAAACATTGTGAAGTGAGATGAGAGGGCTGCTCCTGCTCCTTCCCATGGTGCCAAACACACAGCTCTCAGAATGTAGACAAAGGAAACAGGGTTACCTGAGATAATGGATGCAGGTTGGTGTTCCTCGGAGAAGTGGATGGGCTCGTACGGAGACGTCTCGTAAAACTCTTCTCCTGAAATCAACAGACAGAAAGACAAACGGTGAATGGGCGTGTTAAAGAAGGCAACTCCTACCTGGATTTAACCCCACCACCCTTTTTATGCTCCCTTTAATTCTGTTAGATGTCCAGTAGGAGGCGCACGCGTTTCTGTTTCAGTTTGCCTTCATGGGCCTTTTGTCATCAGTAATCCAGCCATTTAATGTTTGATACGAGAGCTGCGGCCATGAATAATATATGGATCATGGTCACCAATCCAGACAGCCATCCTACAACCCCTCTGTTCATCCATCCATCCATCCATCCAT